ACTCTCGAAGGTTGTCTGCCTTCCAGGAGCTAGGTAAACAACTCTCCAAAAGGATGTGGCGGCAGCCATGCTTCCTCTTTAGAGAAGTGTCCAGAGCTGCTGTGGGTCAGGCAGGGGCTACGCAGGGTTCTGGCCGGCTTCTTACGAGGTCGAGTCCAAGACAGTAATCTGGTGCAGCTGGGCGTGATCTGGACCGGGTTGTGGATCCTGGGGCTCCTGAGCTTGAATTACTTCTGTTTGCCTCATTCTTCTGCAGAAGGGACCTCTTTCTAACCTCTCTTCCCTTCACCCTGGCCTTCCCTTCTCTTTGAACAATTTTAGGATCCTTTGTTCAGATTCTTCGAGAGAGAGGTGAAGATGGGAGCAAAGTTACTTCAGGACGTCCGCCAGGATCTTGCTGACGTTGTTCAAGTGTGTGAAGGGAAGAAGAAACAGACCAACTACCTGCGTACACTTATCAACGAGCTGGTGAAAGGTGCACTTTGATTGGGACTGAATGAGGTGTTGGTCCTCCCGTGTGCCTGGGGCTCAGCCCCGGCCTCACCCGCCCTCGGCAGTCCCCCTCACTGCACTGAGAGCAGGATTCCTGGGGGCCGGCGGCCGCAATTCTTCAGAGTGTTGACAGGTCCCAGGCCAGGCATTTCCTTCCAAACAGACTTCCCTCTGAGAGCAGCTCGGTGCCCTTACCTGGGGGCAGGCTTAGAAATGCCCAAGAACTTGTTTTTATTATATGCTGGTCACTGACGTTTACTAAAATTTTTACACAACTTCTACAGTTTTTAGGGGGGGAGCCAGGACTGAAGAAAAGTGGAGGGGTAGGGGGCTCGAGTCCAAAGGCGCAAGGAGCCCCCAGGTGTCTCCCATCGGCTCCAAGAGCAGGAATTGCTAGTGACACTGAGCCACTTGTGTGATGGGAGTTTGTGGCTTTGGTGTTCCTTGGGAGTCACTGGCACCCCAGACGCAGCTGTCAGTTACACGGAACTGAGCAAAGAACAGATGCAGAGGTGATGGCAGTCCATCCAGGACATGCAGCCGGGGAGAGGGGGAGGGCTTGCGTGTGTGAGCACAGCTGGAGATGCAGGTGAGCCCCAGCAGCCTCAGCCCATCTGTGGGGGACGGTGGGGACTGACGCGCCGGGCCCGCCTGGCTTGCAGGAATCCTGCCCCGGAGCTGGTCTCACTACACGGTGCCTGCCGGCATGACCGTCATCCAGTGGGTGTCCGACTTCAGCGAGAGGATCAAACAGCTGCAGAACATCTCCCTGGCGGCTGCCTCTGGCGGTGCCAAGGAGCTAAAGGTGGGGAAGGCGCTCTGAGAAGTCTGGGGGAGGGTTGGTGGCTGTCCTGGGCTTGGGAGCAGCAGCACCCGGGCAGCTCAGGGGATGAGCACAGGCCAGGTCAGATCCGACAGAATGCGTGGGGCTCACTCCTCACCTGGGGCTGCTTCCTCCCACAGAACATCCACGTGTGCCTGGGCGGCCTGTTTGTACCTGAGGCGTACATCACCGCCACCAGGCAGTACGTGGCCCAGGCCAACAGCTGGTCCCTGGAGGAGCTCTGCCTGGAAGTCAACGTCACCACCTCCCAGAGTGCCACCCTCGACGCCTGCAGCTTTGGAGTCACAGGTGCGTTGGGATCAGAGAACATGCAGACTCAGCGCCTCTGGCTGGGCTTCCCTGAAGTTCCCCTTCCCTGCTCCAGGCCCCACTGGGCCAGCACACGTTCTCACAGGTGGCTGGCGGTCCTCACATGCGAGTCAGAGCTGGGCACTTGGTCCGCCCTGAGAGCCCCGGGAGCGGGGGGTTGGCCTAGCTGTTGTTTCCCTGGCCGATGGGTTTTGGCTTCCTCCTCCCAGGTTTGAAGCTCCAGGGGGCCACGTGCAATAACAACAAGCTGTCGCTCTCCAACGCCATCTCCACGGTCCTTCCTCTAACACAGCTGCGCTGGGTCAAGCAGACCAATGCGGAGAAGAAGGCTAATGTGGTAAGTGGCTCCGTCCCGTCCTTCGTGGTCAGGGAGCTCGGCATAAAGCCCTCCATCACCACGCCCCCCGGGCCCCCGCTTGGCCCAACGTCAACCGTGCGCCCGTCTCCTCCTCGCAGGTGACCTTACCCGTCTACCTGAACTTCACCCGCGCAGACCTCATCTTCACAGTGGACTTTGAAATTGCCACCAAGGAAGACCCTCGCAGCTTCTACGAGCGTGGCGTGGCAGTCCTCTGCACAGAGTGAAACAACACTTTTCTAGCCCCCCTTTCTGTAATAGTAAAATTCAATATTTAACATTTATTCATTATTAGGATGTGTGGAAGGTATGGACTTGTCAAGGGAAGTCGAGGCTTGGAGGTTGGAGGACACTGAAGGCAGGCTGAAGGCTGACGGGAGCGGTGGGAACGGGAAGGATGCTCGTACGTGTTAGAGGGTCGACTGCATGGCTTGTTTTATGAAATAAAACACTAAGCACGGTCTGGCTCCCGCCTCTTCTGTCTTGGCTCTAGTCACGGGTGCTGAGCGCCGCACCCACCCAATGCAGCCACAGCTCTTGAATTACGAACCTGGCAACCCCTTCGTGGACACACCGCCAGCCAGCCTGCCTAGAAAAGCTCTGGCCCATCCTGGGTCACATCAGCACCCGCTGCGGCCTGACTGCACAGCCGCGCTCTTGGTGCCTGGGCTCGGCCTACAACCCTCAGGGTGGAGCCTGGGGCACAGGTTGATGCCCTCATGTGGCTCTGCCACCCAGCCCGATCCCTCCTGGCGCAGTTGTTCCCGAAGTCCTAGGCTGGCGGCTGGCTCGGCTGACTGCTTGCTGCACACCGTAGTGATGGGCGTGTCCTTGTGGAAACAGGTTTCTGGCCTGCCTTGCAGTGACCAGCACGGGCCCTGTGACGGAAACCTGTTCGTCCTGCTGCTGGGCCACCCATGACCCGCCCACCAGCGGAGCAGTGCTGTGAGTGGGACTGAATGGATGCTCAAGGTCCACCCCCCACCCCCCCAGGGCCTGAGAGGAGAGTCAGAGCCGCCTCCCTACCCAGTTCTGGAATACTCCATCACAGATCCCTAGGTGGCTTGATTGCAGTGCAAGGCTATATTCAGCTGACACTGGGGGCCTGTTTTAAATGTTCTCTGAACCAGTAAAGGATTCTGGGCATTTCTGTGGTGGGAGTGCTAAACAGCACTGCAGACTCTCCCCTGAGAAGAGCTGGCGCCAGGCCCTGGTGACGAGGAGAGTCCGTGAAAGGCCACGTGCTAACCCTTGCTCGCCCACCCTGTTTACAGGTGAGGTTCCTGAGCACAGAGGCTAAGGGGGCACCAGGTGAGGATTCCGGAGCCCAAGAGAAGGGCCACCATCTGTAAACCCTGATGGCCCAGTGGAGGGGACACAGCAAGCTCCGGAAACGTCAGGGGAGCTGCCTCCAGGCCGAAGGGAAGGACCCAGCTACAGACACCACTGAGACACTCCACCCACCTTCCGCCTAGGGGACAGGGGCTAGGACCGCACTCCCCTGGTCGAAGGCTTCCGAGTGGACCCCATGGGTCAGACTTACTGCCTCCCACCGGACACCCATGGGCAGTGCCTGGTGCAGGGCCCCCTCAAGTCACCCCCATCCCACCCCTACCCTGAGCTCAGTCCATGGGGCCTGAGGAGACCCCTACCTCTGGGACCACCCACTCACCCTGCAGTTGGAGTGTCAGGCTGGACACTGGCCCCCAGCCCAATTTGTCCTCAGGACAGAGCTGTCAGAAAGGGGGCCTGGGGGGACCGGGGGTGGGGGGGGGGCGGGCAGGGAGGAGGGGTGTTGAACAGAGACCCACCCGGGGCAGCTCCTCCACCCACCCCATCCAGGGCCTCCTGGAGGAGGAAGGATCAGCCCCCTCTGGGCGGACTCCCCTCTTACTGGACCCCCTCTCATTGGGACATTGCAGGTCTGGGCCTACAGGTGGCGGCCATGCGCTGCCACGGACTCCAGACGTGGGAGGAAGGGAAAGCTCAGTAAAACCAGGGAAAGGGCACAAGAGCCACCCCACCTGTTCTTTGTAGGTTTTACCACGTGAAGACTGAGCCACGGAACTGCTCACAACTCCAACTTCTTCAACAGCCTGGCTGAGGACAGAGCAGAGGGTGCTGCGCCTAGGGCCCAGCGTAGCTCCAGGAGACTCAGCTGCCCAGCTGCCCTCTGACCCCAGCCACCCTCCTGCGCCTTCACCTCCATCTCCACACTAATTTGGGCCCATTTGTTTCATTTAAAAAATTTTTTTTTTTTGAGGAAGATTAGCCCTGAGCTAATATCTGCTGCCAATCCTCTTTTTGCTGAGGAAGACTGGCCCTGAGCTAACATCCGTGCCCATCTTCCTCTATATGTGGGACGCCTACCACAGCATGGTGTGCCAAGCGGTGCCATGTCTGCACCCGGGATCCGAACCGGCAAACCCCGCGCCACCAAAGCAGAACTTGGGCACTTAACCGCTGGCGCCACCGGGCAGGCCCCCTAAATATTTTTATTCGTGGTCTGACCATCAACTCCAAGAGCTGGGCCCCCCAGAGGCAGCTGTGGTGAACACCTGTTGGGGGAGTGAGGGCAGGACGAGAACCACAGCAAAGACTTGGTCCGCTCGGCAGTCCTAGGACTTGACTGTGAAGCAAAAGGGGAAGAAATCCTCTGGGATTCAGTGGGGTGGGCTCCTGAGGGCCACAGGGGCCCTTCCTGAATCGGACCCCACTTTCAGCAAGCGGTGGGTACCCGGGTGTTATTATTTGAGACATAGAAAAAGGGCCAAGAGGGCCGGCCCCATGGCTGAGCCGTTAAGTTCGCACGCTCTGCTTCCGTGGCCTAGGGTTTCGCCAGTTCAGATCCTGGGTGCAGACATGGCACCGCTCATCAGGCCACGCTGAGGTGGCGTCCCACATGCCACAACTAGAAGGACCCACAACTAAAATATACACAAGTATGTACCGGGGGGCTTTGGGGAGAAAAAGGGAAAAAAAAAAGGGGGCCAAGTGTTTCGTTGAAACTTTCCATGTTCGTCAACGCCCACCCTGACCCGCGGGCCTGTCGCGGGCCAGCACCCCTTCCTGGGCTGACTGCTCACCCCGGCCTAGGCCACATACTGCCTCTTCCTCTTGCTTTTCTCAGGCTCTGGCAGTAACAGTTCCAGTTTCCTCTTGGACAGTGAGAGCCGGGGCCCCTTGTCCCTCTCACTCCCCAGTCTGGGTGGCGGCCTGGGCACCTGCTGTGACACTCTGGCTCTGCCCTGAGTGTGTCTGCCCGTCTGGGGGGCCCCCGCGGCAGGGAGCAGGGGGCTGGCTGCCTTGGACCCCCCGACTTCCCCGATCATTCTCGTGTCCTCTGGAGCCCCGGGAAGCCTGGCTGCCCACCCTCGCGCCTCAGCACCACTGGCCTCCACAGGCTGCATGTCCACATCGTTGGCCCCCAGGGATGCGGGGGCCCAGCCGGCAGCTTTCTTGACGAGGTCTGGAATTTTCAAGGAGAGAGGGTCTTCTAAGTTCACTTCTTCTGGACTCCTGGACTTCGGTGTATGCGAAGGCACGTTACAGTGCACACTGCCCAGAAAACAGTCTTTGAAGCTATAGGAGGAGTGACCGGGGGTGTCTTCTGAGTCGCCATAAGGATCTAAAAACTGATGACAAGTATTTGAGCCTGTTAGCAATTTCCAGCATAAACCATTTCTTCCATCACTGTTGGCAAATTTTGCATGATCTGCCTTGCAGATAAATCTTTAAAAATGCACGAGACAAATATCCTGTAGCGTCCAAAAGGCCTAAGGGGTCCACCATCACTGGGAACTCAGCCTGAGCCCTGTCATTTAAAGCCCTCATCCCAGCGCTGGGCACTGGGGCGTCTGAGCTCATTTCCTCCCAACGTCCCCTCCAGAGAGCATGGTGCGTGTCCCTGGTGCAGGACAAACTCCGGCAGGCCCAGCTCCCTGCCCAGGAGAGCGCAAACGTGGCCCTGCTGCCCTGCGCAGAGGGCTGTCGAAGGAGGCGGGAAGCAGCCCAAGTGAGTCAGTCCAACCGCTCACTGTTTTCAAAGGTGCCAGTGGTATGTGCAGCCCCCAGGGCAGCCAAACGCCTCTGACCTCTCTGAGGGGCGTTTGCGGAGCTTTCTGGACAACTAGTAACACCCTCCTCAGCCCTGACCTTTGCACCCAAATTTCCTGTCTTCCTCTTCCCGCCGCCTTCCTCGCCACTGCTCTTGACGGAGCACCCGCAGTTAGGGGCTCCAGAGAAAGTCCAAGTCCCTGCGACAGGCATGTCCCTTCTGGCACTAGCTGAGAGCTGCCCTTTCAGTGACTGCCAGCGCCCTGCTCGACTGAGGCCTTCCAGACATGAGAGGACCATGACGCTGGTAAACAACCAGGCGACCGATACGACTGGGTGTCAGTGCGGCTCCAGGCATTCCACTCCTCACACACACACACCCACATGCATTCCACACCTCACACACATGTGCACACATGCATTCCACTCCTCACACACATGCACACACATTCTACGCCTCACACACGCACTCCACTCACACACATGCACACGCATGCATTCCACTACTCACACACACACATTCCACTCACGCATATGCATGCATTCCACGCCTCACACACACGCATTCCACGCCTCACACATACACGTGCACACATTCAACTCCTCACACACACAAGTATTCCACTCCTCACATACACGCATGCGCACACACCTCCCCCCATTGTGGGGTCCTTTCACTTGGGTAGTGAAAACCTCCCAAGAAAGCTCATTTCCTCCCTGCACAGTTGACACTTATTTATTCCAAAAAAGGTAAAAATGAAGATTAACACAATCTCTGGGCAACTGTGATCATTTCAGATTCAGAAACTGGTCCAAAGTGTCAGAATTCACAAAGCCGGCACCCCTGCTGTGCCCCCACCACAGAGCAGCCAGCCTCCCTGCGAGACCCCAGGGCCCAGACCGGGGTGAGCGTGGGTGTGTGCACGTGCATGCGTGTGTCGTGGGGGTAACAGTCTCACACGGCCGATAAACCAGCCATATTAGTTCTTACAAACCGAGAGATGCCAGGCGGGGTCGCGCACCTGGGTGGCGTGGCTTCACAGCGCCCACAGCTGCTCTGCAATGTTACATGGCGCCTTAGAACAGGCAAGACTGGGCATTAACTACACCTGAGTTAATTACTGAGATTGATTTTGATTGAGATTAATTTTGAGACTAATTGCAAACCTAGGGTCTTATCAATCTTCCAGGCAAACTACTCTGAGTCTTTTTTTTTCTTATTTTAAAAAAAATTTGGAAAAGGAAAACATTTAAATATCAAAGTGCAGTTTTTTTCTCAAATGCAGTCCCACTGCCCGGGCAGACAAGAGCTCACACAGCAGGCCTGGGATGGCTCTCCTCAGAAAGGTCTTCCTGCAAGGCTGGCCCTGGGCCGCCATCCAGGAACTCATATTTCCAGAGGGTTCCCGCCATCCCCTAAATGACAAGGGCAGCTGACAGCTCATTCTAGAACATACCTCTCTCCAGATGCCTTCAACAAAGTCCATGTGATTCTTTTTGTGATTGGCCTGGGGGGGGGGAACAAACCGCACAACCTAAGCCTGTCTATGAAGGCAAGCAGACCAGAGGTTCATGTCCGAAGGCAAAGGATGGAGGGACCCACTGCCCACACCCGCGGTCCCTGCCACGCCAGACGCTGGGCGGATGGCAGCCCGAGGCAGTAGGCATCACAAGGAAGAGCATCTCCCAGGAGCCTGCGCAGTGGTGGAGGACCCCTTGAGGGGTGTGCTTTGAGGGACTACAATATTAAACTTGGGCCACTGTGACCGGGGAAAATAGAGCCCGGAATGCGGCCAGGAGACAGACTCAGCAGCTAGATTGTAGTCTCCATGGCGTCAGGAAGAGACAAAAATGACTCATCAAACCTATGTGGCAGGGGCTGACCCCATGGCCGAGAGGTTAAGTTCATGCTCTCTGCTTCGGTGGCCCAGGGTTTCGCCGGTTTGACTCCTGGGCGGGGGCCTAGCGCCACTCATCAGGCCATGCTGACGTGGCATCCCACATAACACAACTAGAAGGACTCAACTAAAATATACAACTATGTACTGGGGGGCTTTGGGGAGAAGAAGGAAAAATTAAAAATAAACTCTCTTAAAAAAAAAAACAAAAAAACCTACATGGCAGCCAGGCCCTTGTTCTGGACCCAAAGCCAGAAAAGACCGTGGAAGATACTAGATCACCCATCCCAACCCCCTCCTTCACAGATGCAGAAGCTGAGGCCCAGGCCTGCTTGCTCAGGGTCCCTGGGAAGAACCCAGGGGTGGTGTCAGCTATTCCTGAAGCCTCCCCACTACACCCAGGCTTCTGGGAAAAGCAACTCTTTTGTTTTTTTCTTAATCAAAAGACAGGAATTATTCATCAAAAGGACAGCAATTTGAACACCTCTAAATTTTGGGAAAATTAAAAAGACCTGTAAAGATGATGCCAAGGACCACTGAGAATACCATCTCCAAGGAGGGGTCCGAGCCCAGGGCAAGGGCTCCTGTCTCAGGCCCAGGGTCTGCTCTGGGCCGCCGACCCCTCCAGCCCACCCTCCCACCCCGACTAAGAGGAGCACCTTGAGGCGATGGAGCATGTTTCTCTGCCTCTTCCGGAAGCCGGCCCTGGCGCTGAGGGCACCAAACGCTGCCCTGATGCAGTTGGGGCGGCCGTACCGCAGGCCGGCCATGGCTAGGGGTCCCTGTGGACTTCTCACTTCACTGAAAAAGATCAAGTCCATGGGTCAGTGGTTTCAAGGGGTGGGGGAGGGGTTGACCACAAAAGAGCAGGAGGGAACTTTCCGGAGCTCTGGAACTGTTCTGCCTTGATTATTGTGGTGGTTGCTCCACAGGAGGCATTTGTAAAAGTCAGAGCTGTGCACCCAAAGGGGTGAACTTTACTATAAATAAGTTAGACCTCAGTAAGCCAAATGTGAGGAGTTTTCAAAAAATTTTTTAGTTAAAAGAAACCCCACAGTCAGCGGGTGGTGTGGGAGGACAGCCCAGCTCAGTACCTCAGTTTGGGGAAAGCCCCTTTGCACCAAGACCTCGGTCTTCTCATAAAAGCCCTTCAGGAAACATCACACATTCACTGACACTGAAAGTTCTAGAACATTAGAGTGGAGGGTTCAAATGTCTTCCCCTCTGTTTCATTTTTTAACAGATGAAGAAATTTAATCCCAGACTGACACATCCAAGGCGACATAAACTCAGCTTTTCCTAAGAAGTATGAGATTGTTAAAAAAATTTTTTAAAACCCCACACCCAAAGAACAGAGACAGAACAGCCACTCTAAGAAAGAAAAACAAACTTACTAAGAATAAGAGACTACAAACCTCCTTGGAGTTTCATGTCACTCACTTTCCTCAAGAACCCTCGTGGGAAGCACCCGCTAGACCCTGTTGGAAAGTGCATCAGTTACAAACACGTACCGCCGTGCGACATGCTTTTCACGATAAACTCAGGCTTTCCCAAACTGGGCTTCTTGGAACACCAGTTCTCAGGCCAGTAAAGCAAAGTTCAGAGAAACAGGAAATGCTACAAACCAGACCCTAAAGCACCCTCACTGTTGTGCACAATCCACATTAGCATTTTAAAGGCTAGAAAGGTTCCCAGCAAAAAAAAACCTCCATTCTTTTTTTCAGTATTAACTAAAGTCTATATTTTATTCAGATTTCATTAGTTTTTACTTAATGTCCTTTTTCTGTCCCAGGACCCCATCCAGGACACTACATTACATTTACTGTCATGTCTCCTTAGGCTCCTCCTGACTGTGACAGTTTCTCAGACTTTCCTTGTTTTTGATGACCTTGACAGGTTTTTTTGTTGGGTTTTTTTGGTTGTTTTTTTTGGGGGGGTGGGGTTTGAGGAAGATTAGCTCTGAGCTAACTGCTGCCAATCCTCCTCTTTTTGCTGAGGAAGACTGGCCCTGAGCTAACATCCGTGCCCATCTTCCTCTACTTTATACATGGGACGCCTACCACAGCATGGCTTTCCCAAGTGGTGCCATGTCCACAACCGGGATCCCAACCGGCAAACCCCGGGCCACCGAAGTGGGACATGCAAACTTAACCACTGTGCCACCTGGCCGGCCCCAACCTTGACAGTTTTGAGGAACATTTTGTAAGCTGTCCCTCAGTCGGAATTCATCTGACGTTTTTCTTATGATTATGGATTTGGGGAGGACAACCACTGAGTTAGAGCGCCCTTCTCATCACCAGGGGTCAGGAGCATGTCACTGTGACCACCTGGCTGAGGCATGCCTGTCAGGTCCCATTCCATCCTGGCCTCTGGGGAGAAGTCCTCTGCGCAGCCCACACTCAAGGAGCAGGGAGCTGGGCGGACCTCCTGCAGCAGCTACCCAAATTCCTCGACGTGGGTGGGTCTTCTCCCCATGATCGATTGATTCAATCATTCACGCTCCTCAGCACGGACTCACATTCATTGCATACTTGGGTTATAATAAATACTACGTTATTTATTTCTCTCCAGCTTTGGCTGGAACTTGTGTGGCCGGCTACCACATCCCTTTGTATCTCAAGTCCCAAACTGACTTAATCGATGGTCTCCAAAGGAACACGTCCTGTGAGGTACTTAGCACTCTCTCTGGGCTGAGTTTGAAGAAATTGCCACATATTGAGGTACATGGGGAAGCTATTCTGGTTTAAACCTGATTTGGCCTGAACCATACGTGAACTGAAGAACCCTGCCTTACAGCCTGTCAGACACACATTGTGCATCTGCTTACACCATTGAAGGATGCATTAAACGTTATCCCAAAGTGACAAGGGCGCTCCTTCAGGAGGGGGATGCGTAACATAGTTCCCACAATGCCAGTCTCAGTACTTCTTTGAGGATGTTTCCCTTCCTAGGCATCAGGGTCATGTTGAGCTGCTAATTGTAACTAAATATCTCTTTGAAACTTTGAGAAATATGTTTGATGTGTTTGGTGTATGTTGTTTGTTCTAAAGAGGTATAAAACTGTACTGAAAACCATGTTTCTCTGGAATGCTTTCTTCCTTGGTGGAGAGTGCGCTCCCGGGCTAGTACTCAGCTTGGTTCAAATAAAACTCACTTGATGTTTCTTATCGATAGAATGGTTATTGATTATTTGCATCAACAGTTTAAATAAAAGTACCAAAAAAGCAAGTGAAATAAGTCAGATGGAGAAAGACAAACACCATATGACTTCACTCATATGTGGAAGATAAACAAACACACACATAGATCCAGAGGCCAGCTTGGTGGTTACCGGTGGGGGTGTGGGGGTAGGGGGTGAAAGGGGCACACGTGTATGGTGATGGATGGAAATTAGACTTTTGGTGGTGAATGCGATGCAGTCTATACAGAAGGGGAACTATAATGATGTCCACCTGAAATTTATACAATGTTATAAACCAATGTGACTTCAAATTTTTAGAAAAGTACCAAAAAAGTGAAATTATAATGAGTAAAGGAACCCAACCCCCCTTTTCTCCTCACTTTCCTGCTGGAGCTGCGGACCAGGGTCAGTACTGATGTGTTTTCTAGGCCAGCTGGTTGGCACCAGGTTAAAGGACTTCTCATATACTTTTTAATGCAAAGGCATTTCACACACATGGTTAAAAAGATCTATCAAATGCTGTACGATAAGTACACGAGGTCCCCCAGCCCCCGCTGTGGACTCCCCTGTGTGTCCCCCAGGAGTTTGCTGTGCAAATTCCCACACAGGCTCCTTTATAATCCCTCACCCACAGCCATTTATAGCCAGAGACAGAAATCTCTTTTGTAAAGTGTTTCCATACAGGATATAAGACCTGAAGGGCACTTGCCCACCTCAAGCGGCTTTGCTTTGAATTCACTCTGGACGTCGGTGTCAAACCAGCAACCTCACCAGTCCTGTGGTTTGGGGAGTTCAACAAAACTCGCTTTTGATGCCAGTAGGAGTTCAAGGAAAAGACGGAAGCCTGCAGACGGCCTGAAGGTGTCAGCCGCTTACAGCTGGGGAACCTGAGGTTAAGGACATCGGATTTGCCCAGAGGCACAGAGCCAAGGCCAGAAGCCGGTTCTAATCCCTGACATGTGGCTGTGCTCCACTCCCCCTATACACACACACACACACACACACACGCACGCACATGCACACACACATGCACACATGCACGCGCGCACACACGCATGTATACACACACACTGCGACCCCAGGGACGTCCTGGGTCCCAAGGCCCCAGCGTCTCCACCTCCCCTTGCAGGGCAGCTTCTAGAGCAGAGCAAAAAGACAAACGTCAACTACCCAGGACTCTCCCTCCTCCCTCTGCCTCCCTGCCCCCCAGGCCCCTCCCTCTCCATCCTCAAAGGTTACATAAAAAAGTCCTTGTCATTCAGACTTACTAGAGAATTCTTTGAAATCAAGCCTATTATTACTGAAGTCACCTTGTTTCACAAACCTCCTGGCCACGCCTCCCAACCTTTCTTCCCAGCCAAGGTCAAAGTGGGCCGTGAGGAGGCCCCCCCAACCTTTCTCATCCCACTTCTGCCCTCTCCCCCACCCCTGGGAGCTGGCTCTCTGCCCCTCTTGGCTCAGTCACTTTACGTGATCAATTCACCTTGCACTTATCTCATCGGCCTTTTTATAACCACCCTCCACTCCCTCCCGCTCCAGCTGAAGGTCCTTCGCCGAGAGCTGGAGCTGCAGCTGCTGTCCCCCCTCTCCAGCTCCGGGCGCACGGCCAGGCCCACAGCCTAACCGGGGACAATGCCAGTGAGCACTTAAGGTGTGATCACAGTGCTGTGTTTCTGTCTAAAAAAGCCTTTCCTTCTAGGGGGCACACGGGGGCGGGGCAGGAAACAGGATGCGCCACTATTGTCAATCCGTGAATCTGGGAGAATGTTAGGAGATTCTCTTCTCCTTCTCTTATACGTTTGAATGTTTCCTGATGAGTTTAGAGGTCACCATCTCCGCCCTGAGAGCCGCCAATCTCTACCTTCCGGCAAGTCCCATCCAATAAGCTTGAACCCTGAGCACCCGCCCACCCTGCGTCTGTCCAGGCACATGCGTGCACACACATGCACGTACACACACTCCACACCCACATGTCGTCTGGCCCCAAGGCTCCACCCACCACCTCTGGTGGCCCCCAGCTCCACCTCCCAGCTCCACAGAGCAGACCCCACGGCCCAGCCTCCTCGGGGTCTAATACATTCTTCCAACTTGACTTCTCCAAGATCAAACTGCTGATCTTCCCAAAACGAACTCTCTTTTCATCCTCCCTCCTGGCCCAGGGGACGGCAACTCGCAACTCCCCGTGTCTTGTTGCTCAGGCTAAAAAACCTGCCTATCACCTTCACTCCCAACCACACAGCCAGTTGACCAGCCAGTGTGGACTCTGCTTCCCCAATGAGGGCAGAGTTCAGCACTTCTCCCCCTGCCCTTGTCCTCAGCGGCAGCTGAGCCGGAATCACGCCATGGCCCACAGAGAAAGCCCAGGCCCTGGCCTCACTCGCCTGGCCAGCCACCTCACGGGACAAGCCCCCTGCAGCCTTGCAGCCCCAGCCACGGAGCACGGGGTGGGGGACTCCCACCCCAAATGCTGAGCCCTGCTTGACCTCTACCTGGCTGTCCCTTCACCTCCATCCTGTCTTTACTCTAAGGCCTCTAAGGTGGGAGCACGAGGCCTTCCCAGAGACCCCTTATCTCACTTTTCAGCCTCCCCACCCTCACACTGATGTTTCACACATGCACGCGAACACCCTGCTGCACTTTGCTCCCACGTCCTCACCACTCGCTCATATGCTCCGTGTCCTCCTCCTCCTCTCTCGGGATCACCAGCCCCTTCAAGGGACTCACACTCCATCACCTGGGCTTTTAGCTTCTTTGTCCCCAGCTGTGTCCCCAAAGCCTGGCACGGCGCTGAGCATACATTCAGTGCTCAAGACATTTCCTGGATGAGCGCATGCACGTTCCACAGAGACCCGCACCTACCCTGCCCCAAGCCCAGGGCATTTCCCCTGGATGAGCCCCTCCTTTTGCAGCCTCCACCAGCCACTAAGACCCTGGAGCCAGAAACGGCAGAGATTCCACTGGAGGCTGAACAGCCGACGGGTCCAAAACCCAGGTCTGCTACCAACCTGGCTGCATGACTCCAGATGTCTAAAGTAGCTTCTCCTGGCCTCAGTTTCCCCATCGGTAAAATGGGCGAATAGGTGAGGCGTCCGTGACGTGATGTGTGAAGAGGGGTCAGCATGCTGTGCTCTGTGCTGGTTTATGAAGTCATTGGCTGCTCCCAGACAAACATGTCACTTAAGCACCCTACTCTGTGCAAATCACCACCCAAGCGAATCAAAAGGCTCAAAGGCGCCCTTCCATTGGAAAGGGACAGTGTAAACCCGAGTGTCACCTGTCCACGGGGTGCTGGAAGTCTGCATGTGGTACAGAGTGCTTCTTATTTGATGGGAGGCTCTTGTCCAAAATTCTCTCAGGAGGCCATGTGTAGTGGTTTGAATGGAGGCCCCCCCCCAAAAAAATATTTGTCCACATCCTTACCCCTGGAACCTGCGACAGTGACCTTATTTAGAAAGAGTCTTTGCAGATGTAATTAAGTTAAGGATCTCAGGACGAGATCATCCTGGATTTAGGGTGAGCCCTAAATCAATGAGCGACAGGCATCCTTAGAGGAGAAAGGAGGAAATGAGAAGGTGATGTGAAAAGGAGGCAGAGACTGGAGCGATGCGACCACAAGCCAAGGAAGGCCAATGACTGCGGGCAACCACCAGATGCTGGCGAGAGGCGGGAGCAGACGCTCCCTCAGAGCCTCCGGAGGGACCAGCGCGCACGTGGATCGCAGACTTCCGGCCTCCAGAATTGAGGGAGAACAAACCTATGCCGTTTCAAGCTGCCCAGGTGGTGCCCATTTGTTACAGCAGCCACAGGAAAGGAACAGGCCCTGGTAAGGACAATCGTCCCCCATTAGCTGCGGGGGACACGTATGCCTGAAACCGTGGATAGTTCTGAACCCATATACACTACGTTTTTTCCTCCAGTACATACATATTTGAGGTGTGACAGCAAAACTAGCACAAATTTCTGTTTCCTTTTTCACAATTTCACAGATAGAAGATTTGTTCCTACTGTAGATCCTAGCAAGCTCAGCAAAGACTTTTCTTCTTTCCTTAAGTCAAGAACTCCCAACTTTTCACCTAAAGGAAGCACTTTACAGCTTCTCTTTGGCATATTCAACTTGCCAGCATCACCACTAAAATAAGGGTTCCTTGAACACAAGCACTGCGATACCGAGACCGTTGATCTGACAACTGAGCCGCCTACTAAGTGACTAACGGGGAAGGAACGTATACAATATGCATATGCTGGACAAAAGGAGGACTCACGTCCTGGGCAGGATGGAGCAGGACGGCCCAAGATTTCATCACCCTACTCAGAATGGCACAGAATTTAAAACCTATGAATTGTTTACTTCTGGAATTTTCCATTTAATATTTTCGGATTGCAGTTGACCTCACGTAACTGAAACTACAGAAAGGGAGACGACAGACAAGGGGGAAGTGCTGTATAAGACTGGTACTCTGAGAAAAACAACACGATCTTAAAGAATTCTGTTCTTTTCATTTGAACTTGAGGAAAACAAGAGCAGATCATGGTGCTGTTTCCTGTGTGGGAACGGGCCACACGCCAGTCTAGGCTGCAGACGTCTGCAGTCAAACATTTAAGCACCAAGGATGGCAAAAGGCCAGGCTAGACATGAAATCATCCCAAATTCAATTCTGGTCACCAGAACTTCCAACAGTTAAAGTGACATTATTTCCAATACGTGGGAAGAAATACCCTGAATGGTGGGGAGCACAGAGAAAAGGAAAGAAATTGTTTGGGTGGAAGTATGGGTCCATTTTTCAGAGGTATCATCCTTCAATGCTACATTTGAGCTTTAAAATGCATTATGAAAGACTCCAAAAACAAAATATATGTGGAGTGTATCGGTATACTAAAAACGCAGAAACAGGGACCAGCCCAGTGGTGTAGTGGTTAAGTTCATGCACTCTGCTTCTGTGGCCTTGAGTTCACAGGCTCAGATCCTGGGTGCAGACCTACACGCCACTCAAAAAGCCATGCTGTGGTGGCGTCCCACATACAAAATAGAGGAAGATTAGTACAGTTAGCTCAGGGACAATCTTCCTCACCAAAAAAAAAAAAAAAAAGCAGAAACAATTCCAGGAACTCCAGGGCCCATCTGGAAAAAAGTCATTTTCATAGACTGACCTCACAGGTGTCAAGAAGTCATAAGCTGGTAACCTGAGGTTTTAAAATGGAAAAGTTGGGGAGCAGCAAACCAACTTCTAGCTGGTCCTTGGCCCCACCCATTTCCCATCCTGGCTCCACCCCCTTGCCCATCCTGGCTCCGCCCCCTTGCCTTTCATGGCCCTCAGCTTCACATAGTTGTGGTTATTAAGCTGGAGGATGAAAAGCCCAGCAGCAAAACAGAAATGGAAGACAAGCAAGAGCATCTCTCACCCAGCGTCTTCTGGCATCTTCTGCAGGTTACCCACACCAACGCGAGATGACAAAAGGTCAACGTTGTAATTTAACATTTGTTACAAGTTGAACACTTGGCAAATTTTCCTAATGCAGTTTTTAAAAATTCACTTTGTAAATAGAATGTTTTAATGCATTAGTAAAATACTGGATAATAGCAAAATTTTTTTTTAAATAATAAAAAATTAAATGCCTGCCAACAAGCCAGGAAGAGGAAAAAGATGATGGGCCAGGACCTTCCCTCAACAGTCCAAAGCCCCAGGGACTGGGCCCCGAGAGTCTGCTAAGTCTCCGTAGCTCCTTCCTCCACCCCTGAGGCCATGCCCAGGAGGAGGGGCCCTGGGGGGACAAGTCAGCTCCTGAACCAGAGCCACCACTGAAGGTTCCCACCTGGAGTCCAGGAGCATCCAGGAGGAGAGGCTGCAAACGGCAGGTGGAGGTGAAGTCTCGAGGGCCAGCTTCGGAGAGGAAAGGAGCTGGGAGAGAGAGATGCTGGTTTGGAGGGGAAAGAGAGCAGATGCAAAATGGTCTTTTGACAAAGAGCAGCTTAGCAAATCTACTCCCAAGATGTGGAAAAAGGGAGAAAAAATATCGTGAGCCGCCTCGCCCCCACCCTCCACACAGTCAGAGGGAAGACTGTCCAGCTCCCGCCCCCAAGGAAAGAGGCATTGTGGGGACATCAGAATCCAGAAGAGGTTACCCCTAAGGTGTTGTTGGCTTAACGCAATTTTGTATTTCTGCTTTACAGGAAAAAGCAGGTTTAAAAAGTTCTCTCTTAACAATACTCAACAATTAACCAACAGTTCTAGTTTAAAAATATACATTCTTTCCTTGAAATAAAATTTGTTCCGAAAGATTTCTCAAACTCCTCTTCCCGAAAAGTGGCTTCTAAGAGGATCAGCTTTATTTGCGTGTCGACAGGCGTTTTACAGGATGCTCTATCTTTATTCTTCCACCTTCTCGAAACTAAAGTCTAGTTCAGGTTTCACATATCTGAGCACCTTTCCTGGACCAGGAACCCATGAGAGGAGAAAGCCTTTCAGGGTCACATTTCCGAGGATGAACGCTGCCCCCGCCCGACACACGTACACACACTCTGCCTCCTTTAGACACACGTCTAACAAGAAACGATCTTGGCCCTGAGCACCTTCAGAAATAGGGGAAGAGGTTCCCCTTAGGCATCCCCATAACCGAGTCCCTGGGCCTGGGCAGGGGCCCGGGAAATTCACTCAAGTGCAGCAGTCTACGGGAAGTTAGGAGACTGGAAACCCCTCCTGTCCCAGCTGCAGGGAGAAAGAGAACGGACGCTCCAAATAAATATGTTCCACCCCTGATAGAGTAAGGTTCTTCAGGGGGGACATTAAGGTCTGTATTTTTTCTTTTTTTTCTTTTCTTCCCCCCCAGCGTTAATTTTTAACACAGATGCTTTCATACTGTACTTGGTATTATTTTGACCAGACACTTTTTTGTACGATTATTGTGAGACATAATAAACTAAAAAGGAATGACAGTGTTTTTCCATTTTGCAATCTCCTGTCCCTTTTGCCACCTGGAAAAAGGTTTAAGCTCAAAACTCCTGTTCAAGACCGTGTGGACGAAGCTTCAGAGGGAGAAAGCTCTTGAGAGGCAGCGCTGTCATTTTACCTGGCGTTTGTGGGTCAGCCCCTCCAGAGCGCCTGGGCTGGTGTCAGAATCCATCAGATGACAAAGTCCTACAACCAGGAAAGAAGAGCGGTTCAGGCTGCCTGAATCCAGGAAAGCCAGAGCACAGGACCATCAGGATTTTCCTTCTTTTTCTTAAAGATTGGCACCTGAGCTAACACCTGTTGCCAATCTTCCCTTCCCCTTATCCTCCTCTTCTCCTCCCCAAAGCCCCCCAGTACGTAGTTGTATATTCTAGTTGTAGGTCCTTCTGGTTCTGCTATGTGGGACGCCGCCTCAGCATGACCAGATGAGCGGTGCCATGTCCGAGCCAGGGATCCAAACCGGCGAAACGCTGGGCCGCCAAAGCGAATGTGTGAACTTAACCACTCTGCCACGGGGGCCAGCCCCGGGATGTTATTTCTTATTTTAAATGTTTGCTCTAGAGGAAATTACAGGTTAAAATCACATTTTACTTTGGGAAAATACTGTGTAGCTTTGCATGCAGACGCTGCTTAACCCCAAGTTAATTCCCAGGTGTCCTAGAATTCTCCTGTGGGCTGGCAGGGAGGGGGGAAGTGTCCACACTTCCCAAGCACAGGCTGGTTGCTGACAGAGCGCAAAGCAGGGTCAGCCCCAGGGGCACCCTCCCACCCTCACCCTGGGCAGAGCTGGCCTAGGCCACCCCACAGTGGAAGCCTGCTGGGGATGCCCCTTCTCAATTCCCCCAGGTACGAACTTGGAGGAAATGGAGTAACCCTCAAATCAGCCCCCACCTCACACAAGGGTCTCCCCACCCTGCAGCCTGACTCTTGGGATAGGGATATTCCTCCATTTGGAGGAAAGAAAGAGGGGTCTCCAAGGCAGGACCCCAGCCCCAGGGGCTAGGGCACCATCCTCACTCTTCAGTACGCAGGGCAGGGACCCCCACCAAGGGGGTGGGGTGATGTCCTCGCTCCCTTAGGGCAGGGACCCACCCAACCGCACCGCGGGGGCTCTTCACTCCCATGCGGCATGGACTCCTCAACCTCTTGGGGGGCGCCGTCCTCACTCCCACGAGGCAGAGACCCCCCCATGCAGGATCTGGGCTCAGCTGCCTCGGGCCCCTCCTGGTGGGCTGGGGCCTCCTCTTGCTGGGGGAGGCACATCCTGTCCTATCCCCGCCCACGCGGCCCGGGCAGCTGCCGGGAAAGGCGCGCAGGTGGCAGCACCTCGCGCGGGGCCTGGCCTGGCAACTCCGCCCCACCTACAGGAGGCTGGGGCTGCGCCGCAGCTTCGCCGGCTCCCAGAAAAGCAGCCCCCCATTCAGCCTCCTGATGTGGCAAGGAACTGGTTGCTGAGGGTGACTCGAGTAGAACTTGTTAAGTTGGGGTCACCGGGAGTCCGGGCCCAGTGAGGTTGGCCCCGCGGTGATGCTGATGCAGAGCACCTGGGGCCGGAGTGCCAGGGTGGGGTGCGCAGGGCACAGGACTGTCGCTGCACACTCACCTCCTGAATGTCATGTCCATTTTGTTCCCAGAGTGATCACCACTGAGTTGAGAAGGAAGGTGCTGAAGTCCAGACCTGTGTGACGTCACAGGCATCTCCATGGCAACGAAGCAGGAGGCTCCCTGCCCGCCCAGCCCCACCACCCAGGCCCGTCGGCTTCCGCTGCCCCTTCGCAAAGCTCCTGTGGTCCTTCCGCCCGCGCTAGGCACCCCCCACGGGGGCTCCACTCGCGGCCAGAGAGGCCTGTTTAAGGACATAATTTTGACACAAAATCTTGAGTGACTCCCCTGTGCCCTGGGATGATGTTCAAACCGTTTAATAGGCCCACCCCGCGCTCCGCTCCAGCAGCACCCTTACCCTCCCTACCTGAGAACTGCTCCTGCCCCACCGCCGGAGCCACTCCCACCTCTCCTTCTTAATTCCAAGCCCCTCCACTTCCAACCCCTTGTAGCTCTGACTTCTGCTCCCCTCCCCTCACCCTTACCCCAGCTTTCTTAACCTCTGCGTTCTTAGTTTGGCACCTCCTCCAGGAAGCCTTCCTTAACCTGGGAAGTCTTGGTTCGGCGCCGCTCCTCTGCGCTCCCACAGCAGGCCAGACCAGCCTGTGCAGAAGTGGTCCGTTGATTTCCACGTGGCTCACTAGACTGTCATCCCCTGAGCCTGGGGTCTCTCAATCCTAAGCTCCCCGACCGTGCACAGCACGGTAACTGCTCAAAGATACATTTTCAATGAATGATGAAAGGAATTGGCAAACCACATATGCCACAAATCATGTTAGCTGCTCAGTAACTAATTTTTTTAGTAATTTTGAAGTTCCGAAGTGGGTATGGTCCAAATTTGTTCTTCTTTTTCAAGATCGTTTGGCTTCTGGGTCCCTTGCATTTTCCATGTGAATTTTACGTTTGACTTGTCAATTTCTGCAAAAATGCCAGCTGGGATTTCCACAGGGACTGCGTTTAACCTGCAGATCAATTTGGGTGGTTGTGCCATCTTAGCGAGATGAAGTCTTCGATCCATGAGCATAGGATGCCTTTTCGTTTATTAGGTCTTTTTTAATTTCTTTCAACAGTGTTTGGTAGTTTTCAGTGTGTAAGTCTTGCATTTCTTTTGTTAAATTTATTTTAAGTATTTTATTTTTTTGATGCTATTGTAAATAGAACTTTCTTAATTTTATTTTTTTCCTCCCCAAAGCCCCAGTACATAATTGTATATCCTAGTTGTAAGTCATTCTAGTTCTTCTCTGTGGGATGCTGCCTCAGCATGGCTTGATGAGCAGTGTGTATGTCTGCACCCAGGATCCAAACCTGCAAACCCTGGGCCGCCAAAGTGGGGCATAGGAACTTAACCAGTACGCCACCTGGCTGGCCCCTGTTTTCCTAATTTCATTTTTGGATTGTTCATTGTTAGTGTAGAAATACAATTAATTTTTGTATGTTAATCTCGTATCCTGAAGCCTTGTTGAAGTTGTTTTAATAGATGTGTGTGTGGATTCCCTGCGGTTTTCTATCATGTCATGTACAAATAGAGATAATTTTTACTCCTTCCTGTCTAATCAGGATGGCTTTTTTTCTTCATCTTGACTAACTGCCCTGGCTCGAACCTCCTGGACAGTGTTGAATAGAAGTGACAAGAATGAACATCCTGTCTTGGCTTTAATTGCGCATTTAATTGTTGTACCAAGTCCCTTGAGTATATTTGGAAAGGAAAAGATGAAATGCGCACAGATGAACTGATATGATAAAATCCAGGAATTGCTTCAGAAAGCCTGGGGGAAGGGCGGGCATTACACGGGGTGTGGATGTCCCGACAGGCCATGACCGGTTGGCTGGGTACAATGATGGGCACACGGGGTTCTATACTATTCTTTCTGCTTTTGTGTACCTTTGAAATTCGCATAATGGAAAATGAAAAAGTAAAATAAGGAAAATGGAGAGCCAAAAAGAAAGAGCTAAGGAAATAAAAGGTAGGATATTGAGGGAAATGAAAGGTCCATTGAGGAATTGGAGCCCCAGACAAGAATGCTGGAGTGCCTGCTACCAACCGGGTGGAACGCCTTTCCCAGACCCAGCCACGCTCCCCCCGTCCCATAATGCCCCATGATGCCCGGTGATGCCCCATGATGCCCCATGCTTTAGGCTAAGACATTGTTTTGTCCCTTACGTCTCTTTTCACCTACAACTGCCTTGTTTTATTTTAATTGCACTGATTTGGGGAAGAGGCCAAGCCAAATATCCTGCAGAATCTTCTGGATTTGTCCAGCTGCTTCCTCAAGCTTGTTTAGCTTGTCCCTCTATCCCCTTCCCTTGTATTTCCTATGCACTAGAATTACCAGGATATTCTCCTGTTTGGGGACACCTGGGCTATTTTCAAATTTTCCGTTCTACAGTCTTGCAGAGAACATTGTTGCACATTCTCCTCGGGCAAGTGGGCAAGACTTTCTCTAGTCTGCGCCAGGAAGGGGAAGTCCTTCATGAGATGTGTCAAACTGCCCCCCAGAGGAAGTGTATCAACTCACATCCCACCAGGGGGACGCAAGAGTTCCCGTTTGCCAGACTCTAGCCAAAATTTGTATTGTCAGACTTAGATTTCTGCCCTTCTGATAGGTGTAATTGTATCTCCTTGTGCTTGGTTTCTCTTTCATGAGCACCAGTGAGGCTGGGCATCTTCTCAAAGTTCTGCTCACTTTCAGGCCATAGGCTTCAGGGACTGCTTACAGGTGGTACAAATCAGTTTTATCAAAAGGGGAAGTGCAAAATAGCATAATTTTCTACATCCACAGTGAATGGTATTCAAGTGTGAAATTTTTTATTGGTTTCATCCATTCAACTATTTAAAAAGTGGGTAGTAGAGGCCAGCCCGGTGGTGTAGTGGTTAAGTTTGCACGCTGTGCTTTGGCAGCCTGGGTTTTGCAGGTTTCAATTCCAGGTGTGGACTTACACGCAGCCCATCAGGCCATGCTGTGGTGGCGTCCCACATTCAAAAAATAGAGGAAGACTGGCACAGATGTTAGTTCAGGGACAATTTTCCTCAGCAAAAAGAGGAAGACTGGCAACAGATTTAGCTCAGGGCCAATCTTCCTCACCCCACCATCTCCTCAAAAAAAGTGGGTAGCTGATTTATCATTTTTTTCTTTCTGATTTGTTAGAGTTTTTTTTTAATCTGGAATTTAAAAAAACAACCACAGTGCTTCTTTTTGGACCACATTTCTAGCTCTAGAACTTTCGCTGGTCAAGTGTTGAGGCCCTAAGGTGCTGTCATAAGAAGATGACGTCTGTTCCAAGCAGACAGATACACTTGGCAGACAATGTGCTCAGCTAGTTGGCTCTGCAATTTCATCGTGGAATCTTTGTTCAGATTTTGATGGTGCTATTAATATACCATGACTCACGAAAAGCCCTGCTTCCTGGAATGTTCTTCCCAGGGAGGTGAAACGATGTTCCTTCCTATGGAAGAATAATCTGTAATCACACTTTCAAATGTTTGAGCAGATCTTGAAGGCTTAGAAAAGGGAACAAAAGCTTCCTAAATGATACAAAATTATTATTATTATTATTGTTATTGAGGAAGTTTAGCCCTGAGCTAACATCCGCTGCCAATCCTCCTCTTTTTTGCTGAGGAAGATTGGCCCTTAGCTAACATCCACATCCATCTTCTTCTATTTTATATGTGCGACTTCTGCCACAGCATGGCTTGATAAGTGGTGCGTAGGTCCCCACCTGGGATCCGAACGGGCGAACCCCAGGCTGCTGAAGTGGAGTGCACAAACTTAACCACTAAGCCACTGGGCCGGCTCAATACAAAATTATTTAAACAAATTTCCATCCCCACAGGAAGGGGAAAAATATCAGTTGTATGTACCAGGTACTCATTCAATCCACAAATATGTATCAGGTGCACCGGGCTGGCAGCGAGCAAACCAGACACACGCCTTCCTTCAGGGGGAGAGGCAGCAGAGAGGCAGGAAGACGGACCATAAACTTGTCACTGCTGGACAATGGTGAGAAACGTCATGCAGAAAGGGAGAGGACGCAGGGAGTGTAGCCTGGGCTTTTCTGAAGAAAGCAACATGTAAACTGAGGCCAGACAGTGAGAGGATTTGGCCTGGTGCAGAGGGCATGAAGACCATCCCAGGCAAGTTACTGCCTAATGGGTACCGGGTTTCTGTTTGGGATGTAAAAAGAGTTTTGGAACTAGATAGTGGTGATGGTTGCATCTTTTTGTTTTTTGTTTTGTTTTGTTTTTTTGAGGAAGTTTAGCCCTGAGCTAACTGCTGTCAATCTCCCTCTTTTTGCTGAGGAAGACTGGCCCTGAGCGAACATTCGTGCCCATCTTCCTCTACTTTATACGTGGGACACCTACCACAGCATGGCCTGCCAAGCGGTGCCATGTCCGCACCCGGGATCTGAACCGGCGAACCCCGGGCCGCCAAGAAGCCGAACGTGCACACTTAACCGCTGCACCACTGGGCCAGCCCTGCACAACATTTTGAATGTGGTTCATGCCACTAAACTATACACTTAAAATGGTAAATTTGGGGCCTGGTGGCGCAGTGGTTAAGTGCACACGTTCCGCTTCGGCGGCCCAGGGTTCACTGGTTTGGATCTGGGGTGTGGACACGGCACCGCTTGGCACGCCATGCTGTGGCAGGTGTCCCACATATAAAGCAGAGGAAGATGGGCACGGATGTTAGCTCAGGGCCAGTCTTCCTCAGCAAAAAGAGGAGAATTGGTGGCAGATGTTAGCTCAGGACTAATATTCCTCAAAAAAAAAAAAAAAAAAGGTAAATTGGATGTTATGTATATTTTACCATGATTAAAAAACAAAGAGAGAGACCATCCCAGGCAGAGGTGCTCTGGCACGAGGAGGCCTTGTGAGGGGCATCTGTCAGTTCTGAGTTGCCAACCTGTGTTCTAAGGTCACCCCTACCTCAGGAGGCCAGATGGGAGGCAAAAGGAATGAAAGGA